CAATGAGCAAAGAGGCCTTCCTTCCCCTTGCTGCCAGCACCGGTTTTCCTCCGGCACCCGGGACCCAGGCCTTTGGTCCAGCACAGCAGCGAGGCTTGGTTTCTCTGCTCTGGTTGCTCCCAGCCCCTCCTTTTTTTTTTTTTTCCAGCTCCTCTGGTGGAGGCCAGGGCTGGCTCAGCCCAGGCCCCCAGCCACTCCTTGATCGGAGTCCCGGGCTGGCGGGAAGCTTGGCTTCCTCCATCACTGGGAGCAACTCAAGCCTCCTGTTTGCTCCAGCTCCATGGCCACCGCCATCTTCAGTCGTCTTCAGTATTTGCTCCACGCCTGCGTATGCAAATTAGCCGTCATATTTGTTGGGTTAATTTGCATAGTCACTCTGATTGGCTGGTGGGTGTGGCGGAATGGCGGTTAATTTGCATTTTCTCTTTTATTAGTGTAGATTGCATTTCCTTTCAACTTTTTATTTATAGGCACACTTTTAAAAAACATATTTTTATTGATTTCAGAGAGGAAGGGAGAGGGAGAGAGTGATAGAAACAGTAATAATGAGAAAGAATCATTGATTGGCTGCCTCCTGCATGCCCCCCACCCCTGGGGACTGAGCCTGCAACCCAGGCATGTGACCTTGACCGGAATCGAACCTGTGACCCTTCAGTCTGCAGGCTGACTCTCTATCCACTGAGCCAAACCAATTAGGGCTATGGGCACACTTTTTACATAGTTAAAATCATAGTGTTTCTAAAGTTCCAATCCTGATTGTTTCTACCTGACATATCATAAGCATTTTCCATGTTGCTACATGATTTTCATCATTTAATTTTTAAAACTGCATAATCATCCCTTACTAAGTCCCAGTAAATTCTAAATATGACCGGAGCCCCACTAATCCACCACACACCATTTGACGCTCTCTCCACCTTTATGTCCCCAGCTGCCTGCCTGTGTTCTTCCCTGGGTCTCTCCCCGACCCTGTGCCGGGGTCACAGTATCTGTCCTGCATTACTTAGAGGCATCCACCTGGAAGGGAGATGATGACACAGAAGCTTGGTTAGTGAGAAACTGTGCTTACTTGACTCCTGTCTGAACTTTAAAATCTATGTTTATTTGGGAATAAAACAGAAAAATGATTCATCTTATGAGTTTCCTCAGGGTCAGTGGAATCCTGAATTCTCTTGGATGAGTTTATTCATTCTAAGCTCTAATTGAAACACAACATAGAAACCAGTTGGCTCTTCTCTTATATATTCTATCTGTGAGAAGCAGCAACATCTGCCAGCATCTTGAGTCCTCTCTTCCTTGGCATTCGACTGAATTAATCAATAGAGCACACAGCTAACAGAACAAAAAAAATAAAAATAAAAAATTTCCAATAAGACAAATGGAAAATTACAAAACAAAAGCTTGAATCTCTGCAATTTTTCAAGTCAGGTGAAAATGACTCGCTTTTTTTTTTAATTCAAATTGTTTTGAATTAAAATTGAAATTGATAGTATAAACCTGTAATACTATCAGAAACTATTTCTTTTATTATATTTCCTCTTTGTTGAAATTGTTTCCTTTAATTCATTGCATTATTTGATTTTAGATTTATACTATACACAATAAGGGAGTGAATTTTTAATATTTTGAAGACTCAGTTTTTAATATCTATTCTAGTATGTATTAATATCTAGTATAGTGGTTAAACCTTTTTATCCTTTTAGAGTCTCCTCAATTATTTCAATTGAAGAGACACTAGGTGTTAAAACAATTTCCCTAACAAACCACATATATTTATTAAAAAGTTATTGAGTAATTTCTCCTTTTATTAAAGTAATTGAAGAACATATAGGGTTTATAATGAGCTTGGAGTAACGTGTATTACCACCCTGAATGAAAATAGTCCCTGCCAAAAGAAAAACATTTAGTCTGTTAACAGTAGAATGCTTTTTTTTCTTTATCCAAACATTACTGTTAGACATTTTTACTTATTGAAAATGGTCTCTGATCCATATTACTACTTGCAGACAGTAGTTGGAATAATAGTTCTACTCATTAAATCATATCATTGAGGGCTCCTTGTAAAAGAGCCTTGGTAGCAAAAAAAAAAAAAAAAATCATATTGCAGGTGATTTCTCCCACTTCTCATCGACAGGCATTATTACACATCAAATTGCATGAACTAGTAAATAGTTGGGGGAGGGAGGTATGCGCTCTCACATTCTTTTCGTTCTGTGTTTCCTTGCTAGAAAGCCGATGTCCCTGGCTGTGGCTGGAGAGAAGAGGAATCCCGATGTGACATGTGGGCATGCATTCACCAGGCAGGCAGGTGGGAATGTTTTTTAAAGTAGTTTATTTTGAAGTCCTTATCTTCCTACCAACCCTCTTTTTCCCTTGAGTTTTTAGTCCCATTCAATTTAGTTCATTGCACAGAGTCCTAGGCCAGTCGAAAATTCTCTGGGAGACCAAAAAATGTATGACACACAGCCCCTGCCCTTGGAGGGACAAGTAGTTAATAGAGGAAAAGTGACCTGGGCAGAAATATCTGAGATGAGGCAAAATTAGCCCAGTGCTCTAGGGATCTCAAATAGCCTGCATGGGCTGCACAACTTTTTCTCTGTGCGTGTATGTGTGGTGGTCACTCTTAGCTCTAGGTCCTGGGGCAGCTTCATGGAGACACTGGGTATTGAAAGAAGAGGACCTGTAGAAGGTAGAGATGGGGACAAATGTATACCCGATAGAGAAGCAGAACCAATAGGAGATCCATCCATCCATCCATCCACCCATCCATCCATCCACCCATCCATCCATCCATCCATCCACCCATCCATCCATCCACCCACCCATCCATCCATCCATCCATCCATCCATCCATCCATCCATCCATCCATCATCCATCATCCATCATCCATCATTACAAGGAGTAGGCCTTGCACAGTTGTGAGAGCTGGTTAAGCAGTCTCTGTGAGGCTATTGTCTCCATGTCTAATGTTGACACTTGAAGTCCACTGTGTAGGTAGTCAGGAAGGGATGATGAGTGTAAAGTGGGGGAGATCAAGAGAAGGGTGGAACCCTCGAGCATGAGCTGAAGCCTGACAGGACAAACTTGAAAGCTGCGACAGTTCTTATCACCTCTGACCTTGGTGTCAAGCTGTTCTGCAGAAGCGAGGGCCCTATGTCACACAGCTGAGCACAGACACCTGGCTGTTGTGTTAAAGGAGCCGAAGGAGGATCCAGGGGAAAGGAGAGAAGTTGTAGGCTTAGTTGCTGCTTCATGCCAATAAGATGACTCAGCAGATCAGCTGAAATGTGTTTGAGTCCCAAATGGCTGCTGCTTCCTCCCAGGAGTTTTCCTTTTGGCCCACTCCACTGGGAAGCATGCAAGAAAGGAAAACGTAGGTCAGATGTCAGCCATCGTAAGTTGTACCCAGAGTATGGAGCTTCTGAAAATCAAGCTGAAGATTTTGGGTGCTACAGACAATAAGTAAGTGGCCACTGAATTTTTAATTTTTTTTATTTTGTGTGTGTGCTAGAAGTGACAAGGGTGAACTGACCTTGAGGACAATGAGACTGTAGTGGTAGGCAGGACAGATTGGAGACCTGACTGGGGAACTCAGAATGCCAAGTAAGTGGAGGCAAGGGGGTCCAGGAAGCTGGAGTGGAAAGGAAGTGGCAGAGCCATGCCTAGAAGTTTTACTGCTGGGGGCCAGGGCACAAAGCTTGCTTTTGTGCATTTGGGGAAGAGGGCAGGTCTACATTCAAAGCATTGCCTGCCTGCCTTTGACATTGGTATGCTTGTCGCATCCCTTTTTTTCAGCCCTGGAAATTTCAGTGCCCTGGGTCAAAGTCCCAAGTTTGTGACCCTAGATGGGGTCCTGAAGAGAACACAGTGGATATTTGTTGTGTTTTGTGACACCCAACAATAGTCATTGAAAATCCTTTCTGTGTTCGGGGAATTTTCCACATGAAGGTTCCTACTGGAAGCCAGTAGATCACTCCTCGCTTGATTTCCATCCAGGGAGACTCCAATGTGCAAGAGAGTAGGAAGAGGCAGGGGCCACACAGAAGCATCTTTTTACTGCTGAATAGATTCTATTGTATGAATATATCCCATTTTCTTTATTTACCAATGTATAAGGATTTGAATAATTCCCAGTTTTCATCCATTATGTACAATGCTACATTTTGGTATACCTCATATTTCTCCTGGATAAGTACCTAGTAGTAGAATTACTTTGTCATATGGTAAGTTCAATTTTTAAAAAATTGATTTTAGAGAGGAAGAGAGAGAGAGAGAGAGAGAGAGAGAGAAACATTGATCAGTTGCCTTACATATGGGCCCTGACTGGGGATCAAACCTGCGACCTGGGTGTGTCCCTGGACCAAGAAACAAACCTGCCACCTTTTGGTGCATGGGGCAATGCTCCAACTACCTGAGCCACACCAGCCAGGGTGGTAAGTTTTTTAAAAAAAAATTTTTGTGAATATATTTTATCCCATTAATTTTTAGAGAGAGTGGGAGGGATGGAGAGAGGCAGAAACATTGATGTGTGAGAGACACATTGATTGATTACCTCCCTGCACATGCCCCAAATGGGGCTGAGGATCAATCCTGCAACCCAGGTATGTGCCCTTGACCGGGAATCAAACCTGGGACCCTTCAGTGCACAGGCCAATGCTCTAACCACTGAGCAACCAGCCAGGGCACTAAGTTCAAATTTTAAGAACAGTTTAAATTTCTATTTTACATTACAATCTGCAGTGCCTGAGGGGTCCACTTTCTCCAGCTACTCACTCAAACTTCAGAAGGCCTGTCTTTTTAAATTATAGCCATTCTGGTGGATATGCAGAATTATCTCATTGAGTTTTAATTGGCATTTCCCTAAGGACTGATGGTATTGAATTTCCATATAAAGTTTAGGATCAACTTGTCAATTTCTACATCGACTGCTGGCATTTTGATAGGGATTGCATTGAATCTGTACAACAATCTGGGGAGAACTACCATCCAACCAATATTGAGTCTTTCAATCTATGGACATGAGTCTTTCAATCTTTTTTAATTTCTCTCAGCAATATTTGATCATTTTCAGTGTATACACATTTCACTTCTTTGTTAGACTTATTCCTAAGTCTTATTTTTGATGCTCTTGTGAATGAAATGTTTTCTTAATTTTGGATTGTTTACTGCTAGAATATAGAAATACCATTGATTTTTAAAATATTGATCTTGTATCCAGTTGCCTTGTTGGATTCATTTTTTAATTATAGCAGTTTGGGGTGGAGGGCAGGGGACTCCTTTACATAGAGGACAATGTCACTGAGGATAGAGATGATTTTTACTTCTTTCCAATCTGGATGACATGACTTAAAAAATTTTTTTTGACTGGCCAGAATCTCAGTACAAGGTTGATTAGAAGTGATGAGAGCAAATATCTACATTTTTCCCATTTTAGAGACAAACATTCCATCTTTCATCATTAAGTATGATGTTAGCATCGGGTTTTTGTAATCAGGTAAGGAACTTCCCTTCTATCCCTACTTTGTTGAAAATTTACACCAGAAATGGTTGTTGGATTTTGTTACATGCTTTTTCTGCATCTGTTTAGATCAGGGGTCCTCAAACTACAACCTGCGGGCCACATGCCAATACAAATATTGTATTTGTTCCCGTTTTGTTTTTTTACTTCAAAATAAGATATGTGCAGTGTGCATAGGAATTTGTTCATAGTTTTTTTTTTTTAACTATAGTCCGGCCCGCCAACGGTCTGAGGGACAGTGAACTGGCCCCCTGTTTAAAAAGTTTGAGGACCCCTGGTTTAGATGATTGTGTGGTTTTGTCTTTTATCCTATTACTAGAGGCCCGATGCATGAAATTCATGCAAGAGTAGGCCTTCCTTCCCCTGGCTGCTGGCACCAGCTTCCCTCCGGCACCCGGGATCTGGGCTTCCCTCGAATCCCCGGCTTCGTCCAGAAGGTCTTCCGGAAAGACATCCGGTCAAATTAGCATATTATGCTTTTATTTTATAGGTTATGGTATTACATTAATTTTCAACTATTAAATCGACCTTGCATTCCTAGGTACTTGGTGATGGTACATAATCCTTTTGATACATTATTTAATTCAGTTTGCTAATTTTTACTGTTATTGTTGTTAATCCTCACCCATGGATATTTTTCCATTACTTTTTAGAGAGAGTAGAAAGGGGGGTGGGAGGGAGAGAAGCATTGATATGAAAAAGACACATTAATTGGTTGCCTCTGCAATCGCCCAGACCAGGAATTGGGGATTGAATCTGCAACCCAAGTGCGTGCCCTTAACTGGGAATTGAAACCACGACCAGACCATTCAGTGGGAGGTTTGATGCTCTCTCCACTGAGCCACACTGGCCAGGGCTCTGTTTGCTAATATTTTTAAATGGTTTTTGCTGATATCTGTGTTTGAGGGATATTCCCCTCAAACTGAGTTTCATTTTCTTTGATGTATTTTTGTTTGTTTGTTTTGAATCAGGGAAATACTGGTCTTGGGAGATTGACATCTGCCTTGCTTCTACAGACATGTGTAAATAAAAACTTGTATTATTGTAATTTCTGCATTTATTCAACTGTTTCTTTTTCCTTTTGAGAAACAAATTTCACAAGTTATTTTAAAAGTAGAAACCAGATCTTATCTACGGGTTTGGCCACCAAAATAAAATCAATGTTCCATCTGAGCACCTGACCAGAGTCCTCTAGTCACACTGTTTGTCTGTCTATTGCAGACATGAGCAGAAACAGATGGCATGCCAGGACCTACACATTTCAAACTGCTAAACCCATCACAGACAGGAGAGGAAGGAGCTGCCACCTTCTGCTTCTCTTCTGCACCATGGGGGGATTGCAACGTGTCTTCTGAGTAGTCATTGACTATCATTAACTTTGTCTCATGGCCCTTTGAGGTTTGGGGAAGAAATGTGATCACAATGTGTGTGTGTGTGTGTGTGTGTGGCCAATCAAGCTGACTTTACTGGTCAAAAGTGTTTCCAGATGTCAGAGCCACATCGAGTGTCAGAAGAATCTGTGTTGAAATGGTGTTTGGAGGGCACTGATGATCTAACTTGTGTTTGCCTCATCATGTAACCATAATCCTTATTATGGTCATGGCTCTTTGGGTTATCTTACCATCTGTGAAATGTGAAGAGCAATCACAATGCTCTACTTGAGGGGGCTTTTGATTAAAGAGACGTCCAAATGTAACAGGAAAGAGCTACTCCTTTCTAAGCATCACTACTTGTTCTGAAAACCAAGTCATCTCAGCTTCAGACTCATTGCTTGTTCATTCCTTCGAAGTCTGTTCCTATGAGCAACCACAACTCGTCCAGTGCCATTTACTCTTCACACAATACCTTGAGGTAGGTATTTTGCAGATGAAGGGACTGGGGCTCACATTAAGAAATATGCCAACATCACCCTCAGAATAAATGGTAGGATTTGGCCCAAGCACAGATTCAGGTTATTCGAAGCCCACGCTCTTCGACTACACACAGCCTCCCCTCTGTCCATAGTCCTGCTGGGCTCCCCAGATGCAAGGCCTGTACAACCCTCTCCCACCTCTCATAGTTTCCACACTGAGTTCCTGGGGTGTGTGGGCAGGGATGCTGGGACAGTGGTTCTTTCATTATATTCCTAGGGCTTCTTACTGTTGTGACAAGTATTCACTGACAAGTGTTCAATGAATATTGAAATAGAAGACTGAGTGAGAACAATTATACTTCCTGGAATTAAAAATAATCTTTTTATTGAGCCCGGCCAGTGTCTCTCAGTGGTTGAGAATTGACCTATGAACCCAGAGGTTATTGCTTCGATTCCCAGTCAGGGCACATGCCCGGGTTGCGGGCTCAATCCCCAGTAGGAGGCATGCAGGCAGCTGATCGATGTTTCTTTTTCATTGATGTTTCTATCTCTCTCTCCCTATCCCTTTCTCTCTCTCTAAAATCAATAAAGATATATTTTTAAAAAATATATTTTTGTTTTTTTGGAGAGGGAGGGAGAGAGAGAGAGAGACATGGATGTGAGAGCAAAACATAGATCGGCAATTGAACTGGCAATTTCTCAATGTATAGGATGACAGACACCCACCAATTGAGCCACGCAGGCCAGGGCATACTTCCTGGAATTTCTAGAAAAGCTTACATTTGAAGTTGGAAGCAAACCAAAAATGTATCTAATCCAAAATTTCCAGTCAGAGGAATTGAGGCTCAAAGAAGACAACACATATGTGAAAAGGAAATAGCAAGGGATCTGAACTTCAAATAATGTAAAAATAACATTGCAGGGGAAAAATGTCAACTGCAGAAAAGAAAATTAAAAACAAAAAAATGAAAAAGATGAAATAAACAAAAAAAGGGAAAAATAAAAAACTTTTAAAAAGCAAAAAAAAAAAAATGTCAACTGCAATGACTTCACAATTGACTTAATTCATTAGTGTTTTTGAGAAATCATTCACCTGAAGGACTGGAATCAATGCTTAGACTCTTCTCAAAATCAGCCAAATAACACACACTTGGCCCAAGAACCCGGGCTCTGAGCCACACATACATTTCACCCAAGGTCAGTGGCCCCATCACATGTGCCCAGCCTGAGCGGGGTGTTTTCTGACACGTTTCACAGCTACGTTGCTCGTCTGTAGAGCTATATGCCATCCGCCAGGAATGAAAAGAATCCCTCCTCTCCCCTGAACCCTCCCGCGGGGTGTTCTTTCCAGCCAGACCTGCTCTGCCAATTGTGCTGTCACCGACGCCTCCCCAGAGCTCACCTGTCCGGCCTGACCATGGACCTTCAAGCTTCCTTCCTCTCCACGCAACCCCCATCCCACGCACCCTGCTTGCAGGTCAGGTTGTCAACAAAATCAAGAGGCTGCCTCAGATTCTCCCAAATCTGTTATTTTATTTTGAAGTGGTGGTCTTTAGCCGCAGCACTTTCCTTCCTTTCATCTTTGGTCAATTAAGAGCGGCCACATCACATTTTATCTCTAAAGAACGTTGCCGAATCATCTTCTTTCTCAAATATCCTGGGGGGTTCTCCCTGATCTCCCACAGCAGATTGACCCATTTAGGCTTCAGAGTTAGATTCCTTCTTTGACTTCTTCTTTCTGTGTATTTATTCTCAAAATGATAATCTCATAATATTCATATTTTGTTTTATTGTCTTTCTCTTTCACAGTGCTACAGGCTAACCCAGCCGTGGGCAAACTACGGCCCACCGGCCAGATCCGGCCTGTTTGAAATGAATAAAACTAAAAAAAAAAAAAAAAAAAAAGACCGTACCCTTTTGTGTAATGATGTTTACTTTGAATTTATATTAGTTCACACAAACACTCCATCCATGCTTTTGTTCCGGCCCTCCGGTCCAGTTTAAGAACCCAGTGTGGCCCTCGAGTCAAAAAGTTTGCCCACCCCTGGGCTAACCTGACCCTGCTATTAACCTTTTTAAAGTTTTACAATATTTGCACAGAAATCTTCCCTTCAACCAAACTCTTCTCTCTTCATCCATCCCAAATAATTTCTTTGAAAAGGGTAACATGTCTTAAAGAAAATGCCATTTACTTATTTACTGGACAACCCTGAAAAACACACCTCAAAACTCTAACGTACCTGTGGGATATGTTCCAGTGCTTTTATATGTCTTATTTTGGGTGAACAATTCTTATACAGAAATCACATTTAACAGGAAGACATGTTCATGGTCAGGCACATTATTGGTGCTTGGTAGACAAATTTGCACTGGTAATTTTCCTAGTTTGCTGTATACACTGAAAACATTTATCCCAGATACATGTTTCCTCCAACTAAATTGCACTAGTTTCCTAAATGCTAAATATTTTTATGCGTACTATTGATTATCTATAGATATCCCAGATTTTCATCTATTTCCTGAAAGTAAGAGTACTTATCACTCCCATTTGTTGAGCATCTACTCCAGGCCAGCCACTGCCCAGGCCTGTGCTGGTCAATATAGTAGCAAGTACCATATGTGGTCACTGAGCACTTGGAGTGTGACTAGTCCAAATGAAGATGTACTTTAGGTGTAAAACGCACATCAGATTTCAAAGACATGCTGTGAAGAAAGAATGTAAGATATCTGACTACTATTTTATATTGAGTACATGTTGAAATGCTGGTATTCCCAATACCTTAGGTTGAATATTAAAAACAAAACAAGCTTGTTTCCTTTTACTTTATAAACGTCACTGCTAGAAAATTTTAAATTTCCTATGTGCCTCCTATTGTGGCGTGCATTATATTTGTCAGAGAGTGCTTGCTTAGGTGTTCGCTACACTTAAAAATGAATGAATGAATGAATGAGGGAATGAGACAAGCTATTCTTTCCTGATCTGTAAAGACAGCTCATAATAGTCTACCGGGATAAAATAAAAAAAACAACAACTTAGGGTTTGATAGAAAATAATACAATTCAACCTCATGTTGTAATTGAGAATACTGAGTCCCAGAGGGTAGCCTTATGCACTGCCCTCTGAATAAAGAGAGAAAAGCAAGGTGTTGATTCAATACCAGCATTTCCTCATCACCAGTGAAAAATGCCTTGGTGAGGATACTGGAAGTATCCAGGGACAAACAGCCTGGATTTCAGAGTACTACTGAATCATCTACTGTACTACTACAAGTGGTACAGTAATGGCTTAAAACAACCTCAAAGCCATTACGACTTCAATGAATTCACTCTTTGCAACTGGTTAGAGCTGTCCAAGACAGACACCAGGCTGAGCCACAGTCTCATGTAGGAGGGACAAAGCTGGGCTGGGCAGGGAGGTCCAGGGTGAATACCTTCGGACAGTGGGACATTGTGACATCATCAGTGATGGGCTTGGTTTCTCATTGCTGGCCCTCCAGTCTTAGCTGTTACCGCAAGTCCATTCCTCTACCATGAGTGTGGAGCAGCTAAAATCAACAGACCCACATGTACCTTGAGGTGACAGACTGGCTCTGGTAAATATCCCCATTTCCCCATTTAGAAGGTGACCCACCGGAACACGGCTTTGGTTGGTCCTTTTGTGTGAAGAGGACAATGGTGCCCAGTTTTCTAGGGACAGTCCTTGAGGTGTATCCCTTTGTCCTGATTAAGGATTCCTCTTCAAATGGTTCAGAATGTGGGGGAGAAAGTCCCAGGCAGTCAGTCGTTTCTTCGGCTTCACCGGTAACGCTTGTCAGGAAGGGGAGAGCCAAAAGGCTTCCACTATTCTGGTGAGTTTGGCATGAATTTGGGACTCTGGCTCTCACGTTAGATTTCCTGCAGCTACATTGGGCTGACTCCTGCCCCCAGGTCTGCTCCTGTCGGCTTCACCCTTTAACATTTTTTACTCTTACATGTTTATAAACAGGCAAGCTTGAATTCAATAAGCACTTACGATTTATGTAAGTGTTGGGCAAAACTGAGTCCACCCAAGTTCAGTGTGGGAAGGTGGTGGCTCTGCAACCCAGGATAGTGCCTTTGAACTGTAACTATGTACACACAGTTACCCTGGAGGCTCACTACCAGACATGTTAGCAGTCTGTCTTCTCAGATCACTCTTGCTCTTTTTGCTAAAAGACAGATTTTTAAAAGTATGGAATTCTTGGTTTTACACGGTTCTTTAAACAGAGCTGCAACAATTTTATCAGTGAATGTATTTAGCCTAAATGGATTTTTAAGGATCTCAGGTAACAGTTATTTCAAATAGTTGCTTGTTTTACCTTGAAAAAAATTACACTATCTACAAATACTTTGTACCAATTTGTTTATATAGCTAGAGGTGTACAGTGAATATATATGTATGTATGAGCTATGTGACACGTGTGTATATAGAGATATACAATGCATATCTATGTTTATCTTTACAGAGAGGGAGAATGAGGATAGGGGATTTTAGTTAGAAATTTCCATCTTATTTCTTATTATTGTATTGAGCTTGTCACCACAGAAGATAATCTTTATGAGTTTTGTGTTTAAAACAATCTCAAAGCCTTAATTATCTGAAAATTCATGATGAAAAAAAGTACTATGAACATGTTAATGAATAGTCTTCATTTAATCAAATCTTGTAATTTATGCTTTATCTTCAGGATTTTTCCATTTTAAAAATAATCAGGATAACTTTAACAAATATGTTTCCCTCACTCAATAACAGTGATTGAGTAATAAGTCTCCATTTCACATTCACTGCTATAGCTTGGAAGTGCAGGAATGGA